AGTATCCAATTCGATAGTAATTCAATCCGAATTATATATGAATACGTGAATGTATTTATGTAATTGAATGATTATATGATAAAATTAAATCAAAACTTAGCAGTGATTTTCCAAAATCAACTATAGTTTAATTATTCGAATTAGGTTGGATATTCAGTTTTTCGAGTTCTTTGGTCTCCTGGTTCTGTCTCACAAACACATTCACACTCTATGATAATAATGTTTAATTTGTCCTTTGTGTAGTAAATAATAATGTTTAATGATAATCTTTTTCTAGATTTCTTTGTTAACATCTTAATATAGGCCACAAGTTTTTAGTATTACATCATTCTTTTTACAAGGTTAACTAATTATGTTGTGTTTTGATTGACAAAATTTTGAGAGAATTAAATTCGACACACTATGAATTTGCCCTGGTAATTCCAATTGCCAGCCTCATCATTCGTAAGGATGCATATAAGTAGAGAAGTAATGCTTCTTAAGTCTAATTTGTTTATTCAATTCATTGTTGTTGCCAAACTATAGCGGAAACTCTTAATATTGGACATAGTTCCTTGTCAATGCACGGACAATAATAGAGTAAATAAGTAAATTATGTCAAAAAATTGCAAGAAGTATTAATACTGTGTTTGAAATAGGGACTTGACTATAGTACTAATTTTATTTTTTTTTTGGGTACCATATCTCCATTAACCGATAAAAACACTTACAAATGTAATAAATTACCCACAAAAATGAAAAAAAAAATTGTATCGAAGAAAAATGGTAAAAATAATTACTACAAAAATGATAAAAATACCCACAAAATTGATAAATCACCCACAAAAATACTAATTTTTTGATTATAAAATGACCCACAAAATTATAAAAATACCCATTAAAATTGGAGTTAAATTACCAAAAATTTTTCTTCGCTAGTCAAGTCTTTGAAATTGATTTGGAAACACAAGAAAAGATTTAAAAATGACGGGAAGGATATCCACCAGGTAGATCAACTAGACTAAGTACTAGTACAGTATTATTATGTACGTATATTTTCATGAGAGAGAGAGAGAGAGAGAGAGAGAGAGAGAGAGAGAGAGAGGGGTATGGCAAACCTCAAAAACGTCTCCCACATTGACAACAAAGGCATCTGGGAGGAACTTAATAGGAAACCAAACTCCATCCTTTTTAATTTGGAAGCCTTCCACTCCATTGATTTCTAGGAGGATTGTAATTCCAGTAGCATCTGAGTGAGGATTGAAGCCCGTCACTAGCTCTGATTGTGGGCATGGAGGATAGTAATTCATCCTCACTGCTTGCATCCCATCCTCAAACATCTCTTCAATCTCTCTCTTATCAATCTTTAGTGCTACTGCCATCAATCCAAAGATAGTCATGGCAAGTTTTTGCAGCTCTGATAGATAAGACTCAATTGTATCCCTGCAACGAATCAGAGATCAAGATGATAAACGTGTCAAGCTTGATATTGAACACGAGTCTAAATTTTAGTTTACACTTGAAGACAAGTCTAAGATCAGTATGTTTAATCAGATGAGATTGAATTGACCCAAGTTTGAATAGTAAGTTAATGAGTCCGCTTCAATAAAATATTTGAAGCTCGTCACGATCCCTAACACTCTTCAGGAATCATTGAGCCCCAAAACAGCATGGTACTTGTTTAGCTTGACTCAGTATATTTCGACCCTTACATACCTTTTTGGATGCTTAGACAAGCATCCATGATACTTATATATATATATATATATATATATATATAGAGAGAGAGAGAGAGAGAGAGAGAGAGAGAGAAAACCTAAGTGAGATAGGGAGCTCGGGCAACAGGTGTGGTTTCCTCCTATGGAGGGGGTTGGTTATCATATAAAACCTATCTCCCCAGTTAGCCTTTTGATGTTCAGACTGGATCATGGTAGAACCATACCCTTCAACATCACCAGGCTTCACCTTGAATTTCNTCCCCAGTTAGCCTTTTGATGTTCAGACTGGATCATGGTAGAACCATACCCTTCAACATCACCAGGCTTCACCTTGAATTTCTCTTCCACAGGAAGCTTGTAAAACTCTTCAATATCATGTTTCAGTTTTTCAACCAGCAAAGAGCTAACTCCATGGTTCACCACCTGTAGATGTTTCAGAATTGTTAGGATTTATGATATTACTACCATATTTCTGTTGTGTATCTTACGATAAAGATTTGAGTGAGGACTATCACATGAAGTAACCAAAGAAAATATTGAGGAGGAGGAGGAAAACCTGAAAGATGCCCAAGGTTTTGCAGATTGAGTGCAAATTTTCCAGTTCTAAATCCTTGGCTTCTCCTATAATCAAGTTTTTCATGTCAACTATTGGCAAGGAAAAGCTATCAGAGAGAGCAGTAGGTTCTTGATGAGCTTGAACATAGTGGCGTGGGATGGCAATCAGGGGCTCTTTGGCAAGCTCCTGAACGCTCGGTAATGTCTTATCATTCACTGCCTCAGAGGATGGCATTGCCCAGTTGTAAGTGTACCGATTCAACCACCTTAAAATGAATATTTATAAGCCCGGATAGCCGAGTGGAAAGGGGTCAGTCTGGGAAGAACCCTCGATCTAGATGTTTAGGTGTTTAAGGTTCGACTCTTGCTGGTGCTTATAAGTTTTAACCGTTATCTTTAGTTGAGNCGATCTAGATGTTTAGGTGTTTAAGGTTCGACTCTTGCTGGTGCTTATAAGTTTTAACCGTTATCTTTAGTTGACGAGTGACTGCAGGTTTACATGTGGTGGTTTACCTCTGTAGGGGTGTGTTAACAATTAACTCCATGTTTTAGAGATTTATTGGAAAAAAAAAAAGCCCAAGTGGCCGAGTGAAAAGGGATTTAGTCTAGGGACGAGCCTTCTATATTCGACTCTTGCTAGTGTCTGTAATTTTAATCAATATATGGGTGATTCTAGGTATTCATCCAGAGTTTATTTCTAGAGGATTTTGTCCAATGTGACTTCACATTAAATAGGTTTTGTGGAACTTTGGTGGGTTGAGGGATTAACTTCAATCAAATTCTATGTGTAAAATTTTTAACTCTAACCCTTACTCTAATGTTAACCTTATTTTAACCGGAGATACTCAACGAGTATTGTCCGAATTGATTTCGAGCAAGCTTAAATTGAAATCATGTTAGCTAATTTAGGCCCAATTCGGGCTCAACAAATAATAATCTTAAAAGAAAATTTGGAGGTCGGTCATCTTATATGGATTCATTTGGTGATAAGTCCGTCAAAGAAACTTATTTGGTTTTAAGTCCGTTTTTTATCAATTTTATTATTGTAACCCTTTCCTGTAGGAATGTTATAAACGACGTTTATGACCACATTAACTAGCTATATACATCTCCATAATCAACTTCAAATCCGGCTATAATCTTTTAAGCCACAATGTTTTCTTATCCGAAAAATAAAAAACCAACATTTACCAAAACCCCTTCATATTCAAATTTCAAACCCATTANCAATCTTTTAAGCCACAATGTTTTCTTATCCAAAAAATGAAAAACCAACATTTACCAAAACCCCTTCATATTCAAATTTCAAACCCATTACATTCCATAAAATACAATTTCAATTTACTATTCTAGTTTACTTTAGACTCCGTCGACAAAATATTAATATTGAATATTAATAATTAAAAAATGACAATATTAATATACTCAATAAAGACAGTAACATGATTACTAAAAAAAATAGTAACATGCTCACAAAAAAATAGTAATATGGTAAAAAATAATAACAATTAGGGATTTAATTCTGTCAAAATGGACATTAACCTCGTAACCAAAATTCAAGAGAACTCATACATTAGTACTAAATTAAAGTGTTATAGATTTTGATTTTGTTGATTTTTTTGTTGTGCAAGACAATTGAGTATTTTTTGATTCTGTTACCGTGAAAAAAGTTCATAGTATTGTACGTGAACCAAAAAATAGAGTTTAAAATTTTGATATTATTTATATATCAAAAATGAACCGAAAAATGTTTCACTCCCTTTTTAAATAATAATAATTACAAAATAAATATATATTATTTATATAAATATAATACATGAATTTATGTTAAACTAGAGTTGAGTTCGAGTTGAGCTTGATTTCACCAATTCGGGTTGGGTTCAGATTAAGCCCGTGAACTTGAATTCTTAATTCGAGTCATGCCAAATTCAGTTAGGGATGAAACTTTTTAACTTTAACCTTAACTCTAACCTTAAAAATATCAACCCTTACACTATTTTTTCGGATTGTGCTTGGGTTGGTCCAACCAAGTTGCACCCCAAAGGTTTTTGGTCATAAAGATACGGGTATTAATTAGAAAAAAATATGTTTGCCAAAAGGTCAAAGAAAAAAACATGAAAAAGAAGTGTGTGGTAGATGCTGAAAATATAGAAGCAAAAGATGCTTGAAGCATATGATTCACGTTAACAAATACAAGTTCAACGGCGCTGGAACGAGGGCATTGATGGACGATTATTCAAATTCAGACTATTCCAGGCCAAGATGACCATCTTGATCACCACATGTCGACTTGACTTGAAAATATCCAGGTCCGCCAAGAATGCTTAGAAGACAATTAGTAACTTAGAAATCTTGAAGGGTAAAAGTGAACTTTCATCAACGAGGCCTACTTTGAAGAATTCTTTATTTCTATAAGACCACATGACCGTTTCTAGAAAGTCATGTTATATCTAAGGAAAGNAGTGAACTTTCATCAACGAGGCCTACTTTGAAGAATTCTTTATTTCTATAAGACCACGTTGACCGTTTCTAGAAAGTCATGTTATATCTAAGGAAATAGCCTTTAAGTGTAAAATATTTTCCCAAATATTTTAAAATTCTGTTAAATTTATATAATCATTATGTGTAAAAGATAAGACAAGGAGTAAGAATCTCTATTATGATAGAATAACTCAGCTCTTCAATTTGGCGAACCACTTTTTTTTCTTGTGCATTTTTTACGCGTTTTGCCTTATACACATAACATTTCTCACTTAGAGCTCATTCAACTCATCCACCGCACGCTTCTCCTTTTTTTACGCCACTTGAATATCAATAATGCTATTGAGATCAAATTTAAAGTATAAATTTGGGGACATATACATTAAGACAATTTGGATTGATAGTAGACTTGATAAAATGTTGGAAGTTGGTGCTAATTTAAAGGCCATAATGTACTAAATCTTCAAATTAAGTCCTAATAATATTGTTAGAAGGAATTTGAAGAGAATTGCAGCTGAGAGACGCCGCACACCCTCGACCGGCGCCTTCCTCCTCCTTGTGCACTATGCTATAAGGAAAAGACTTCATCTCTCTCTCTCTCTCTAACCAAATCTATAGAAAGTTTATGTTAGTGGTTTGAATTGGGTTTTGGTTTTTGGCTGTGATGGTAAAGCCTCGCTTGTGGAGTGTTGCCCCCTTCTCTCTTTTTGTGATGCTACTCCGGCAACCAAGTTTAACCCAAGTTCAACACGAGTAACAAACGGGTCGTAGGCGTCTAGTTGAAGCTCAAGTTTGAACAATACTCAGGTTAATAGTTTTATATCTCGAGTTGCGCTCGAATTTACTTCTTAACTAGTCTNTTCAATAAATAAAATAGTAGAACATGAATTTTAGTTGTAAAATTCATGTTCTATTATTAATTACTTAAACCCCTTATTTGATATTTTAATTTTATTCCAATGGATAGTATAATTGTATATTAATTATGATTTTTTAAGAATAAATAAAATTTTTATTTTTGATTTTATTTCAATAAATGATATAATAAAATATGAATTTTAGTTGTAAAATTTAAAATATTTAATATTTTATCTTTCATTGAAGTATTTTTGTCTAAGTATAATATTTTAAACTTAAGGGATTTAAGTATTATACCCCTACAAACTTGAGAGAGTTTAGATGTAATTTATTAACAGATATATGTATACCAGGAGTTTACAAGTATAAATTTTAGGAGGTCTGTGTATAATATTTTAAATCCCTTAATTTTAAATCCCTTAAGAAAAAATATCTCTATTATATGACAATCAAGGCACGTGTCAGTACATTTTATGGCAAACACGTTTCTGATTGAGACAACCTAATTGTGAGGCTAATTAAGTAATTATCATAGGAGAAAACTTTGAATTTCGGTATTACACCGTCACTATAAATTTCATAATTTTTTTACAAGAGGGTCGTTTGTAATTTCTATGGTAACTTTGAAAAAAAAAGTTATCACTCAAAACTTTTTCATTTTATTTTTATGAATTAAACCTTAAAAGTTGTTAATTTTTTTTAAACAGACCTAAAAACTTATATTAAATCCTATTGAACTTGTAAAATGCAGACATGCCGTAGTCTTCTCCACTAGTGGGTTTGTTATTAATGATGTACAGTTGAAGAAATAGAACGCTAACTGAATGGATGGTTAAGTTCATTTCATCCTATCGTTTTTGTTTGTCTCTGTCGAATGGTCTTGAGTCAATTTTAATAACATGTTCTAGACAACCACCACAGCTGGTTTAGTTTGGATGGCCAGCTTTTCATATTCCACTCTGAAGTCTGGTGATTTAATGCTTTCGTAAAAGATATTTGTATCAATTGTCACACCCTGTAAATTCAATGCTCTTCGTCACATATGTGCTCGACTCAACTTGACTGAACATGGTAGACTTTTATTCCTTACCACTCAACATGATGTTCTTAGTGGTCATAAATGAGATACTTCTTTTTTTTGGCTAAATAAACCAAAATGTATCAGTAAAATCTTTATGAAGTACATAGGCCTTGAGATACTCTAATCTAACAACATCAAAAACTTGTAGCAAAACAAGGCTGCAGTCCATCAACTAGAACAAGTTATCCAGACAACCCCAGAGAGAGAGAGTGAATTTAATTTTTGGTTGTCCATCAACTAGAACAAGTTATGTTGTGAATTTAATTTTTTGGTTTATTTTAGTGGAATGGTAATTAGCTTTATTTATTTATTTTATTTTGGTTTGATAATTGATATGGTAGAATGGTGAATTTTGTGTTTAGCATTAATAGTAAAATGAGTCTGAGCTCGAATTCAAGCTTGTTTGAAAAATCAAGCATAAAATAGCCGAGCTTGACATAAGTGAGTGAGCTTGACCTTAAAATAAAGCTTCGAATCTGACTAACTTCCAAAATATTCGAGCCAAACCTGAGAATAATCAAGCTCGTTGGGTTCAACTCGATTATCACCCACAAAAACTCTGACAAGAACATCCTTGAGTCCTTCTAAGTCCTTAAATTAGGATGCAATATAAATTCAAATCAATAAAATCATCACTTTGTTTTTGTTCAAAAAAGAAAAAATATAGGTCGTTATAATGAAGGTCCCCTATTTGGTTCAAATAGAGAAACCTATAATCGAAAGTAACATGTGGTAGGTGACCCGCATCAGTTTGTTCAGTTGTTGAATAAAAGTTAAGATGTGTAGTTACATGTCTTGATCATGATTTTGAGTTT